AGACTTGCCACGGTCTCCAACCCTCCTCCTTTCTCATCCGGGCTTGGGACCGGCCATGGCGGAGTTACTTCGTTTTAATATTGTGTTAAATTATTTTTTCTATGCTGATGGATTGACATTATTGTGACAGAATGCAATAAGTTTGCTAGTTACTACGTATTCTGTTTGCAGCTCCATGGTTGGGTTGGCGTTGGTAAATCAATTTCGACGTTATACGTAGCGCATCTGCATGACGTTATATTTATATTGTTTTTATGCTACCTGTTTGATGTTTCCGTATTTTAGGTGTCACCAAAGTAGTTGATTTATGTGCTGCTCCTGGGAGTTGGAGTCAGGTGCTTTCGAAAGAATTACAGCCGAACGCTGAGAATGATAATGCGGTTAAAATCGTTGCTGTCGACCTACAAGCGATGGCTCCTCTGCCAGGCGTCATTCAGCTCCAAGGCGACATAACGAAAGTGTTTATTCCTCTGATTGATCACATTCTGTTCTCGACGTTGCCTTCGTTTACAGGAGTCGACGGCGATAGAGATCATTCGACATTTCAGCGGCGAAATGGCTGACATGGTGGTGTGCGATGGTGCTCCCGATGGTATTTTTTAATTTTTAATTTTTGAATTTATTTTTAAGGGTAGAACCAAACAGATGTTTTATGGCCAGCCAAATTCGCTGTGAGAATCGTAATAAGTAAGAGTGGCGACACTGATGACCATTGTCAGATAGAATGGTTTTTCAGTGAATGTCCAAATAAAGAACTAGCATGAATCTATTGCGTAAATATCAAATGTGTGCGATGGTTGGTTCGCTCTCGGCTGCTAGACGACACCACGTTCCTGAGAAGACCAATGAAAGAAAGTGCTGAGAATGAAGGCGATGTAATTGCCGTCCATCGGCAAAATTGCCGGGGCTGTTTTGATCCTCATACTTTCTCAATATTTCCTCGCTCGGACTTGTTTATGCTCCTGAAAATCAGTGCATCCCGCTTGAGTTTGTTTGCTGAGCATTGCCTCGAGATAAAACGAAGAGAAGAGGTGTGTCTTCTTGATGCTTCTGTTGATGAACAGTTATTCTCGTTTGATTCTACTTCTCAAAGTGTCCTCTATGATACCTGTGAGATGAAGGTGTGCATCCATGCGCGAGCACAGTGTCGTGAACCAAAGGGTCTGAATTCTTCTATGAGGATCGTTCATCATGTGCAGCAGCCTCTATGCGTTTTTGACAGAATTCCTTACTAAGGGTAGAATATATATCATCGGAGAAACATCAGTAACCAAGCAGAAATCGAAGCAGTAGTCTCATTACATGACCACTAGCTCAAAATTTAAATAAAGATTATTTATATATTTTTTCTGTCGGCGCTAAGTCCTCAGAAACTTAAATGGAATATCGGCTGTTATTAGTAATATCCGTTAAGTTGCGTTTAACGTTATTCGATAGTTCAGTAGAATATTGTAATACATATTCTTGAATTAGGTCGGCAGCTTTCATTCACCTGAAATTTTTAGTCACGGGTCTGCACGACCTGGACGAATATCTGCAAGGCCAGCTGCTGCTTTCAGTAAGTTTCTTGTCCTT